CTTTGGACTCAGCACAACTGAGAGGAGTCTCATAATATCTGGTTTTGCTGGCTATTAACTACAATGGGGAATACCCCTAGAAAAGCTATGGGATATAAGTGGAAAAAAGGCATCTCTTAAAGGGCCCACACACAAATTCACCCATTTCAGAAAGCAACCTAAAATCACCAGAAAGAAAGGTGCACAGTCCTTTGGTGAAAAGAGACTCACCTGATAGGCTCTCGGTGCATCTCAGTGAGAGGTGAGACCTCTCCAGGAACTGAGACATTGGCAACAGCCATTACTGTGACCTAGTAGAGGTGTGGTGACATAGATGCTGGCAGATGCCAACGGAGTTCTTCCCCTGGCCTGTTAGCCCAAGGTCTGCCTCACCCACTGGAGTGCAGATTTAATCTAGTTCAGCCAGGGCAGGCAGCCTGTCCTAGGGACTGCTCCCACCCAACAGCAAGCCCTTGGGCAACTTTTCAGCCTGCACAGACTGGGTGCCTGGATCTTCTGCAGGCAGGCAAGTGTCTGCCTCTGCAGGGCAGGGCCTGCATAAGGAGTAGTGGCGTGGGTGGAGCATTAGTGGAATGTGTGGGGGCCTCTGCAGTGGGGTGACTGCATATAGTACAGGGGGCCAGAAGATGTACATGGCCAGGACTGTGTTAACAGTGTGTAGGCACTTGTGGTCCGTGGGGCTTATCAGCAACAGAAGACCTATGCTTCACAAAGAGCAAAATAAGCGATCAGTCCTGCCGCCTAAGGCCTGATACAACTGGATGCCTCCATGCTTGGGGCAAGGCACACCCAGCTGCAATCCTAAGAGGGCTCACAATAGCACTGCAGGCCAGAGGCCTACAGCAACTGTAAGCCCCTGAACCTAGCATCCAGCCACACTGAGGGCCTACTCACTTAACTGAAAAACTGCAACAGGAATGTGCTTTTAGATCTTGCAGCCAACTGTGCTGGGGCTCCCCAAACACAACAAAGTGACTAAAGGGTCCACAGCAGCCACACACAGCTGAGAATTACAACCAGCTGGCCAAGGAAACAGCCTAGACACCCTGGGCACCTGCAGCAAGAGCAATGCTGCCACAACAGAAAGACACATGTAGCCTACACAGGGGTCAGTCCTAGAACATTTGGAACTGGTGATGAGAGGGAAGCACACCGCTGGGCCTCAAAAGGCATCTCCCACATGAGGCCAATTCTCCAAGATCAGGAGACATAGGCAACTGACCTAATGCATAGACATAAGCACAGAAAAAGAGGCACAGGAATATGTTCCAAGCAAGGGAAGAGGACAAAATCCCAGAAAAAGATCTTAATGAAACAGAATTAACAATCTCCCTAAAAAAGACTTCACAGAAAAAGTCATAAAGATGCTCACTGATCTTGGGAGAAGAAAAGAACAACACAGTGAGAATGTCAATAAAGAACTGGAAAATATAAAAAAGAACCAATCAGAAATGAAGAATATAATACTGGAAATGACAAGTTCACTAGAGGGACTCAATAGCAGAGCAGATCATAAAGAAGACCGAATCAGCAACCTGGACCAAAGACTATGCAAATCACCCAAGATGAAGAGATAAAAGAAAAAGGAATTAGAAAGAACAAGAACAGTCTGAGGGAACTCTGGGACAACATCGAGCACACTAAAATTTGTATTACAGGTGTCCCAGAACAAAAAAAGGGAGACAAAGGGGCAGACAATGTATTTGAAGATATAATAGCTGAAAACTTTCCGAACCTAAGGAGGGAAACAGACATCCAAGTACAGGAAGCCCAGAGAGCACCAAACAAGATAAACTCAAAGAGGCCCACACCAAGACACATTATAATTAAAACATCCAAAATTAAAGATAAACAGAGAATACTAAAAGCAGCAAGAGAAAGGCAACAAGTAACATACAAAGGAAAGCCCATGAGGCTATCATCAGCTGACATCTCAGCCAAAACTTCACAGGCAAGAAGGGAGTGGCACAAGATATTTAAAGTGCTCAAAGGAAAAAACCTACAACCAAGAATACTCTACCTGGCAATGTTATCATTCAGAATGGAAGGAAAGAGAAAGAGATTTCCAGAAAAGCAAAAATTAAAGGAGTTTATCACCAAGAAACCAGTTTTACAGAAAATGCTAAAGGGACTTATTGAAGTAGGAAAGAAAAGACCACAAAGAGCGATAAGAAAATTATCAAAAAAAAACCTAGGAAATAAAATCACTGGTAAAGGGAAAAACACAGTAAAGATAGCAGAACAATAACCTATGAAGACAACACAAAGAAATGGAAAGATATTCCATCCTCTTGAACTGGAAGAATCAACATAGTTAAAATGTCCATACTTCCTAAAGCAATCTACAGGTTCAATGCAATCCCTATCAAAGTTCCAATGACATTTTTCACAGAAACACAACAAAGAATCCTAAAATTTATATGGAACAAAAGACCCTGACTAGCCAAAGGAATCCTGAGAAAAAAGAACAAACCTTGAGGTATCAGACTCCCTCATTTCAAAATGTACTACACAAAGCTATAGTAATCAAAACAGCATGGTACCGGCACAAAAACAGACAGACACAGATCAATGGAACAGCATCAAGAGCCCAGAAATAAACCCCCATACATCTATGGACAGCTAATTTTCGACAAGGGAGCCAAGAACATACAATGGAGAAAGGAAAGTCTCTTCAATAAATGTTTTTGGGAAAACTGGACACTAACATGCAAAAGAATGAAAGCAGACAATTATCTTTTGCCATACACAAAAATAAACTCAAAATGAATCAAGGACTTGGAGGTAACAACTGAAACCACAAAACTTCTAGAAGTAAATGGAGGTAGTACAGTCCTTGACATTGGTCTTAGAAGGATCTTTTTGAATACCATTATCTACATGGGGAACAGAAACAAAAGAAAAAACAAACAAGTGAGACTTCATCAGACTAAAGAGCTTTTGCAAGACAAAGGAAACCAGGAACAAAACAAAAAGACAACCCACCAACTGGGAGAAAATATTTGCAAATCATATATCCAACAAGGGGTTAATCTCTAACATATAGAAAGAACTCACATGACTCAACAACAAAAACATAAACAACCCGATAAAAAATGGGCAGAGGACACGAACAGACATTTTTCCAAAGAAGATACACAGATGGCCAACAGGCACATGAAAAGATGTTCTACATCACTAATCATCAGAGAAATGCAAATCAAAACTACACTAACATATCACCTTACACCCGTTAGAATGGCTATAATCACAACGAAAAATGACAAACGTTGGAGAAGATGTGGAGAAAAGGGAACTCTAACACACTGCTGGTGGGAATGCCAACTGATGTAGCCACTATGGAAAACAGTATGGAGATTTCTCAAAAAATGAAAAATAGAAATACCATATGACTCTGCTGTCCCACTACGGGCATTTACCCAAAGAACTTGCAATCAACAATTCAGAGACTTATGCACCCCTATGTTCATTGGAGCATTATTCACAATAGCCAAGAAGTGGAAGCAACCCAAGAGCCCATCGACTGATGACTGGATAAAGAAGATACAATGGAATACTACTCAGCCATAAAAAGTGACAAAATTGTCCCATTTGCAACAACATGGATGTAACTGGAGGGTATTACGTTAAGCAAGATAAGCTACACAGAGAAAGTTAAACACCATATGATTTCACTCATATGTGGACGATAAACAAATATATGGACAAAGAGAACAGATTAGTGATAAGTGGTAAAGGGGCACATACATATGGTGACTGACAAATAATATACAAATGAAATTTCACAATGTTATAAACTGTTATGACCTCAATCATAAAAATAATTTTTAAAAAGTAAAAGAAAAATTGAGTTTTTAATAAATGGTATTGAAGCCACAGAGAGGATCTGAAAAAATAAAATCAGAACCATATGTCACATTGTACATAAGCATAAACTCCTAATGGATCAAAGACTAAAATGCAAAAAGAAGACCATAAAAGTACAAGAAAAAACAATGGGGGAATTCTATCATAACCCTGGAATAGGAAAGACTTAAAAAAGTCTTTATGACTCAAAATCTAGAAGTCTTAAAAGAAAAAAATTGAGAAATTATATAAAAGTCAAAAACCTTTGTAAAATCAAGTCTCATAAACAATTCCTAAAAAGAAATGACAAAGTAGGAACGAGCCTTGAAATCAAATCACTAAATAATCTCCCTAATACAAAAAGAGCTCCTGGAAAGAATTTTCAAAAAACAGACCCCACAGAAAAATGGGCAAAGTATACAGACAATTCAAAGAAACGGAAATACAAATTACCTTTAAATATATGAAGAGATGGTCACCTTCATTCTTAAGAGAAAGGAAACTAAAAATTTTTATATACTGGTACCATTTCTCAACTATCAGATGGACAAAAACCACAACTTTCATAACATTGTTGTGGCTGTGGGGAAACGCACTCTCACACTCAGCTGGTTAAAGTGCAAGCTGCTGCCAATCCTCATGGAGGGGAATAAGGAAGTATCTCTCAAAATTACAAATACACTTACCCTCTGACCCAATAATACTATTTCTGGAAAATTTTCCTACATACTTGCACACTACAAACTGATGTAATTTCAAAGCTATTCAGTACAGCATTGTGTAATTTATAATAGGAAAATTAAGAAAACCTATTCTGCAGGCTGGTTAAATAAACCAAGGTATTGCGAAACAACGCAAGTCCACGCAGTTATAAAAAAAAAAAATGAAAATAAAAATTATATATTTTCATCTTTTATCTACATACAAAACCTGAAGAAGATTCCAAAAAACTAACAGCCTTACTTAAGGGGACAGAGTAGATGGGCACAAAGGTGGAAGACCTATCGAAGTACCACTTTTTATGCTACTGTGATTTCTGAACCATACAAATGTATTACATGTTACTCACTCAAAATAGAAAGTTTAAAAAATAGACTGAAGAGAGAATATTTTCCCTGCTCCCGCCTTAGTTTTAGCACATGCTTTCAACCTACCTCCTAGGGGACGGAGACCTAGAAGACTTTCTTTTCATGGTTTTTGATGTTCTTGGTGACCTGGAAGAACTCCTGCTCCTTCTCCTACGCCTTTCCCTGAAAGTCAAAGACATGTCACTGAAACAAAGAGCAATTCAAATACACAAAAGCAAAAGGGTCCTTAATGCTTTCAAGGGAATAGTATTCTTTAGAGGCCAGTTTAAACTCATGTCTTTTATAAGTATGTTCTGCTAACTAATTTTAGTGCAAGTTAAATTATGAACCATAAATTTCACAGACTGATGAAAACATCTTCTAAGATTTCATATTAGAAAGGGCATAGGACCACCTTTTTATATGATTTATTTGAACAATAATGTGAGTAGAAAAAATATTAATGGATGTTTCAGATTCTCTCAAGTTAAATATGTTGCTCATCAGCATCTAAAAAATATTTTGCTTGTCAGAGCCTTTGTCATGCATCTAGCTCCTTACTGCCCCATTGTGGATTATTTTATAACAAGATAATAGGCCCTTTTCAAGAACTGAAAGATAAATTTGCTTGCAAAATGTGAACTTCCTAGACCCAAGTATTTAGAATGTCTCTCAAAAGTATTTGCATTAGTTCATTTTACTCCTCCAACCTCCTACCATTTCATTACTGTTGTTCTATTCATTTAAAATTTAGTGTACAAGTTGCTTGAGAATAGTTAAAACCTAAGATTTAAATATGACAAAGTAAAAAATAATTACTAAATAGATTGACAGTGTTTATTATAATTAAAAACTATCCTGCTTCACATATTAGCAAATGATGCATATTCTAAATCACTTCATTTGTAAGAGTGGTCAACTTGGAAACAATGAAATTCAAGATATCCATAATTCAGGAGATGAGGCATGAGAATATATTTATCAATGATTAATGTATCCAATGACCTATCTCATAAGGAACTCTGATAATTAGTGGCCACATAGCTGAAAAAACCAAATCCTCTAGAATTCAAGTTCTCCTTACCATTTCAGTAAGTTGATTCTAGGTTAATGAAACATTCTGTTTTTCATTTATAAAATAAAAAACCAGAAAATGCTCGGATGTGGTATATGTGGTAGATGTTAAGGACAAAAAAGCTCAAGATCATTGAGAACACAAATCAATTCAAGTCTACCTAAGGCTCTCTCCTCCATTATCTAATTTTATTTCCAAGACACCCCAAAATTCTACTTCCTAAGATGGAAATTAAGATAATGATGTTCCATTCAATCAATGCCATTCTGTAAGTTTTCATAGCATGAGAATGTCAGAGTATCCCAGACTTTAAGTCTGCACAAAATCATTCCACCTTGATCAGTATAACTCTTCACTTGTTTGTTCACAAAGCATTATGTACAAGTGGGCATCTAGTAACTACCAGTTGACAATAATGAGAACCAAGGCTGGACAGACGGCAATCTAGAATGTGAATTAGTTGAGAAAGAAGGTGTTGGCTGTAGTATAAAGAACTGGAGTTGGTTAGACTTAGCTTTAAATTTTAGTTCCACACCTTACCAGCTGCACAACTGGGTCATATGACTTAATCTGAGTCTCATTTTTCCAACCGGAAGATGGAGACAATGACTCAAGCCTTGCAGTGCTGTTATGAGAATAATATCTGTAAAGTATCAAGCATAGTGCCAGGCACACAGTAGGCGCTCAATAAATATTTTCTCCTTCCCCTTCTTGGTCTCTTTATTGATAGTAACTTTTTTAAGTATTAGAAGTATTTCAAATATCAAAATTTTATTAGAAAACAATGTTGGAAATAAAAATATTAAGTAGACTTTTTCTGAGCAGTTAAAATGTTTCCCATTTACTAAACAAATCAGAGCACTTGAAAAGCAGAAAAATGCTAAAAGATGAGAAATTGAAACTTCACACTAAGCTTTTCTGAAAGCATGAAACATTCCAAACTGCTGGACCTTTAGGAACTAACGTTAGTCAGCATTTATTTTCCAGGCCCCAGAGGTTATTTAAGAATATATTTAGGACTGAATCTGAACGTCTGAACTTTCTTAAATATCAAGCCACTTAAAATGGCCCATGAAAAAATCCAACATTCCAAAGTCGTCAGAAAAAGTAAATTCAACTGAATTTGAAAGGAATCAGAACATTACTTGGTGTTGTTAAGGGCAATGTCTAAATGATCTCACAAACTCAAAGGAATGTGTAACACAAAACCAACGAAATCACTTTGCAGTAAAGTGCTGTCACAAAGGTCAACTGACACCCAACACAAATGAGGTTAAATTAATGCTTCAGTTTTTGGTTCACTGTGCTGAAATATGGCAGTGATCTGTTTATTTTAAGCCCATTTTAACCTATGCTGTTGTTTTCAACTTTATGCTTCTGAGGCATTTTTTTGAAGCAGATACCAAGTATTGATTAGAGAATTCTCTATTAAACTTAATAATCCCTAAAAAGAGAAAGAGCCACCACACTTTTTATACTAAAGTGCAGAGCAAATGGAAAATTTCCTCGAAGCTTCGGTTTCCTAATGATTTAAAACAGTGGTAATAATCAGTCTTCTCACAGGCGTATTGTGAAAATTAAATGAGGTTCATGAAAAACTCTGCTGAGACATAAAATCCCGCATATAGTAAAGCACTCAATAAATGCTTGCAATTATCTTGTACTACCTAACCAAAAACTAGTATTAAGAATAAGCTATGAAATCACAAGGTTAAAAAAAACAGGAAATACACATCCCTTTGTCTCAGAAATTATTTTCTATGAAAAATCATGTTTAAAATATCTTTAAAGCTTGCTAAAGTATATATATTTTTTAGTATTTTTTAAAATATAGTTTAACACAAATTAGAAATTTCAATTTATTTATAGTCACAGTATCATCTGGAGTAATGGATGTAGGTTTAATCTTGAATCAAGGAAGGTCCTCATTTTTGCAGGTGTTACTATGGCAACCTGCCGCCAACTGGTGGCAGTGTACCTATTAATAAATCAAGGGAACAGTCCTAAAAAAGCAAAACCTTAAATTGACAAATAAAAGAAAAACAAAAGTTAAATATCATGCACTCAACAAAATCCAGCAGTAAATATTAACTTAGATGACAAAAAGGGCTAACATGCAAGTTTGGAAATCATTTTGCACACTAAAATTTACCACACTATTACAAAGAAATATAGAAGCCTAAGAGATCAATTCTTCTATACTAAAAAAAATATATACAGGGGCCGGCCCAGTGGCTTAGTGGTTACGTTTGCATGCTCCACTTTGGCTGCCCAGGGTTCGTAGGTTTAGATCCCAGGCACGGACCTATGCACTGCTCATCAAGCCATGCTCTGGTGGCATCAGACATTGAAAACAGGCAGGTTGGCACAGCTGTTAGCTCAGGGCCAATCTTCCTCACCTATTTGCCCCCGCTATCCCACTCTCCCAAAAAAGCACCAGCAGTAGCCACCAGGTTAAAATAGTGGATTACAAAGATAGTTAAAACTTTCCAAATAATTTTGCCTAATATCATCTCTTCTTCCTCATAGGTGCAATACTGTGGCAATCCTGCTAGAGAAATGTTTACTCTGCAATTAGACGGAAATGTTCTGATATTATTGTGTTCATTCCACCCGCATGGAGTATCTTTTCCTCCTCAGTTAACATTTATGTTCTCATTCATCACCAGTAAACCCCTTGGTAAAAATCTTAAGCATTATCAAACCTGCTGGAACTACGAGATCTTCTTGATGCATTGTAACTTCTGGGTGGTGTTCTGGATTTTTTATCCTTCTTTCTTTTCTCATCTGTCTCTTTGGATCTGTCCTTTTCTCGGTCCTTTTCTTTGTCCTGTTCCTTTTCCTTCTCTTTGTCTCGCTCCTTTTCATGCTCTTTTTCCCGCTCTCTCTCTCTGTCCTTTTCCTTGTCTTTATCCCGGTCCTTGTCCTTTTCCCGGTCTTTATCTTTGTTTTTACCCCGTTCCTTTTCTTTTTCACGTTCCTTTTCCCTGTCTCTCTCTTTATCCCTTTCCTTTTCTCTATCTTTTTCTTTCACTCTTTCCTTTTCCTTGATCTTTTCTCGGGTGTCTTTTCTCTTGTCCCTTTAAAAAACAAAAATAAATAAGTAAATTCACAACTAAAATAATTCTACTCCCCAAAAGGACTTCTCTTTCCTTCCTCCACAGTTATCAATACAAAACAACCTATAATATCTATAAGGCATTACAAATTTCTATATAACTCAGGTGTACATAAAGCTGCAAAATGAAACTGTACATAAAGATGCAAAATGAAACAATTACCAGGCTGAATTAAGTAGTTTGGAAACGTCATGAGATTCAAATCAATGGCCATCAACATTAATCATTACTGAAACCAACAGAAAAAAGTTTAATTTCTCTCATTAAAAACCTAAACCACAACAGATTTCTAACAAATGAAGCCACAAAAAGATTACCCTTAATTTCCCAAAAGCTCACCGTGAGCGCGAACGACTCCTTGACTTCCGTCTCTCCCTCGATTTAGAGCGTTTTCTATGTGGGCTCTTAGACCTACGTCTGTCTTTTTGTCTTGAACGTGATCTATTATGGGATCTACTCCTAAAGAAAATCAAATTTGTTACAATGTCAAAACTTACACTTAGATTTCAATTTTTAAAAATGTCATGTCCTTCATATAAGAGAATTTTAAAACCTATCCCAACATATTTATCAATATTTAAAAATTCTCTATTACATTTAATGCTTCAGTTAGATTATCTGAAATAAATTTACTGGAAACTTTACCAGATAGTTCTTGTCCAGAACACAAAGAGAAAACAGAAAAAGAATTTATTTCCCATGTTAGACTTAAGTTGTATTTTCAGGTGTGGCTTTCTTTTGTGCTAATCACTAATGTATCAATTAGTATAGATGACCTCCTATGGTCCAAATTTTCATACCATGTAATCATCTTTAACCCTTGACTTGCATGTAATATGACTACTTGTGGTTTTGACTTATCTTGACAGAGAGTAGTAGTAGTATGGTTCGATAGTTTCTATAAATGGCTGTATGCTGTTTATTATAAGAGATATTAACAAGAATGTATAAGAAGCACAATACTAATGATGGTATGAGTGTGACACTAATGTCACACTAATGTGTGTGACAGGAAAATAAATGTCATTACTTGTGAATTAAAGCCATTTATAATCAAACGTTGATTTGTAAGGCCTTGATTTTACAACTATATAAACATAGCTATTGAAAGAAACCTTTATTACCAAAATTCCTGCAGGAAAAATAAGTGTTATTCCAATTCTGAAATCCTCTAGGCTCCTTTTCCCCACTGAAATAATTACTTATATGATTTTTTCATAATGAGGTATCCTAGGAACTATTCATATAACAAAACTGAATGTACACAATTTAAATAACAAAGTGATGAGACTCACCGGCTTTGGAGTCAGACAATCTGGCTCTGACACTCAGCTCTGCCACACACTAGCTCTGAGAACTCTGGCTAGTCACTTAACCTCTCTAAGCATGAGTTTCCTCACCTATAAAGTGCAGTAAGAATCACACCTACATCTCCTAGAGCTGTCATGAGGATTAAATCAGATGATGCGTAGAAAACTGCCTAGCAGTCTCTGGCACAGAGTAAATGTAAAACTCTTAACTTGCACTATTCTCCATCATCGTTATTAACAATTAACATAAATGAAAACTTTAAATTATATCTATCTTTATTCCAAGGAGGTCAAATGAACTTCCATAACTATGCTTCATATAATTAAAACTCATCTTGATAGTCATGTTTAAATGAATTATTAAAATAAGTATCTATAAAAGAAATACAAATAGTTAAATGCTTGTGGTATGCTATGAAACCAGAAAAATCTCCAGATAATCCTCAAAAATAATGAAATCTTGCTTTGTAAACACATTTTTCAGTTAGCTAAAATTTGTTTTCCAACAGCTAATTTTCAACTAAACCACTCATCTATTATCCGGCTTCAACAATTATACATTTATCTTCATACCACAGTTTTAAGAGGATAATTCATTGTTTGTTGAAAACTTTATTACTAACAATCTAAGAGACAAGGGTCAAGTAGTAGGTATTAAGGCAAAACGTGGAACAATTTTAATCCATTTACAGACATCCACATACAGTAACATTTTGAAGGGCCTTTGCTTCTGTGTACTTAATAAAAAGTCTTAAGATTTTTGTTTTAATTAAACTTGCTAAAAAATATAAATTTTGTTTTCCTCAAACAGTGCTTTCCAACCTTCATTAAGCAAAGAAACTCCTTTTAAAAAACTAAGCATAGCCCTAATAAAAATTAATAAAAAAACCCACTGATCACTTGGCTTCCTGCCTTACCCTGTGCGTCCTCAGAGTTTGAAAGTCACTGTCCAAGAGTAATTATCATATTTTAATTTTGGCATTAAATATTTTTATGTCTCAATCTCACCCACTAGTCGCCCACAAGTTTTCTGATTAGGAATGCTAAAAGCTTCAAATCAAGAGCAAATCTAATCCAACCAAAGATAAAGATTTGAGTATCATTAGCAGTTCTCATTTTAGCATAATGTGCAAAATTGCATTTATAAATCAAACTATAAATAAGCGGCAACTTACCATTATGTTGCATCAAAGTTCATTTGTAAGTCAGTTGTTTCCCATTAAAATATTATAAAATGTCTTACAGTTCCTATGCTGGTCTGTAAAGGTTACTTAACTTTAAAATATAATAATTATAGTACTACCCATCTTTTCTAACATTGTCCCTATGAAAAAAAAAAACATAAAACTTTGGACAAAGTGGAAACATAACTCCCCAGTTCTAGCCAAAGTCACAAGGACATGAAACCCCTTCCTCCCTCTTGCCATAAGAAGGGGAAGGAATAGGGAAAGAATGCAGGGAAACTCTAGAAGCATCTGAGAAGGCTGAGAAGGAATAAGAGGGTAGGCCTTCAAGAGCAAGGGCTCCTACAACCCACGCTCCTGCTAAGTCTAGTGGGTCTGGGTCAGAGTCAGAGCTGAGGGCAGACCCCACTAGCCGGAGAGGAGAAGCCACGAAATGCCTGCCATCCCCCTCCCCTATTGGAGAGGTGGAGTAAGGGAGTTCCTTCCATGTCAAAATCCTTAAGTCAAATGTTTTTAGGTATGGAATTTTTTTTTCCTTTAAACAGAATTCATCCTCTTTTGTATTTATGAACTTAGTAAGGGCTATGTGTGTTTCTCTACACCATGTTTAAAAACAGTATATGCTTACAAAAAAGATATATATATATATGTGAATGTGTGTATCTATTTGTATATGTGTGTGTGTGTATGCCAAGAACAAGTAATCTCTAATGCTACATAGTTAGATAGACCTACATGAAAGTATCCCATGAATAAGAACAATAATTAACAAATTTCATTTTAGACTGAAAAATCCTTCCCCCACTAATAACCCATGGAAGGGGAAAACACCCACATGTATGTAAAATGATAAGAGCAAAGACCTTAAAATTAATAGTTAAAATTATTTGCCCTAATATAGAAAGCTTCACAGAGATTATCAAGGAAACAACGATATTAATCATCAAGTTTTGCTTTTTTCCAGCCTTAGACAAACACTAAGTTATCAGACTTGGAGTATGGCTCTTGTAATCAACACAAAATGAGATTCAGGTCATTGGTCTTTTTTCCCCTCAGAAAAGAAGTTATTACTCTTCAGCTCAATTCTGTATTTCCTTGATGTCCTTTACCTTCACCACATCCTGTCAACTTATGGAATATCCATAATCTAGTACCACTGTTTCTATACCACTTTCCTCCTCCAATTCTGGCTTCTGTTGCACTGCCTTATTCCTTGTACATGAAACAACTTCCTTCACTTGGATCTGAACTTGTCTTACTGTAAGGCCTTGGATGGAGATAGAAAGTAAAACCATATTCCACAAGAGATGGTGCAAACTAAGAATCACAGAGAAGTATATACCAGCAACTAGTTAGAAATATAGTTTACCAGAGTCAAAGAAAGAATGTCATTATTTTCCTATCTCATTGCTTCAACATCCTTGATCATCCCAGAAAAAGAGACTAAACTGAGCTTGCTGATGAGGTTCACCCTACAGCACACTGGTTCCTTTTTTCCCCTCCTCTCAAACCCTCCTTCTCTAATACCTCCACACTATGCACACACACTTTGCTCTATCTCTTCTCTTTAGACATAAGTATAAATATGTGTGTACATATAACAAGTAATTAGGATCCACTATACACATTTTCACATTTCAATAACAGCCCCCTCCACATCTTAAAGAAGACAACAAAACTTATCACTTAAGACATGATTCTCAGGGCACTTCCAATCAAGATGGTGTTGCAACTTTATATTTTGAGGTACCAAACACAACATGAAGTTAAAAAAAAAAGAAAATTAAAATGACAGCTATGCTCAAAAATAAGATAAAACAGAAAGAGAGCCTGAGCACAAAACAACAGTTGGAGGCAAACCTCCAAGTTACTCCTGTGTTTCAGGACCCAACGTGGGTGGAGGAGGCTCTTATCACCAAGAGTACCAAGGACTTAAGGTGCTCCATTAGACTCACGGTCTGGAGATAGGTATTTACCTGAAACCAAGATCTGGGAGTGGTACTCCCCAGCCCTGCGTAGACTATGGGAAAGCAAAACAGCTGCAACTTCAGCAAGATTTTCAGCATCACCATACATATGGTCCCTGTCCTCAATATGGAGAAAAGTTTCTACCAGTTCTGTATAGACTAGTTTACTCTTAGAAAAATCAGGAATAGAGCATCTTAAGATAGAAAATCAACTTCTAAAACTGAAAATTAGTTGAATAAAAATTATATATTAATTAGATAAAATTCCATTCTTAACTATAACTAATTAAAGCAATATTTACTTGTAACCATATTTCCTGGTAAACTCCACTGAAATTTCTAAATTCCTATATTTAGACAAAAATGCAGAAAATCTTTATTTTAAATAGAAAACTTAAAAAATTTAAAATACGATAGAAATTCTCACCTGTGTTTTGACTGTGACCTTTTCCTTCTAGAATGGGATTTTGAGCTAGACCTGGATTTTGAACGAGTGTGGGAACGAGATCGACCGCCTTTTCTTTCATTGCTCTTTCCAGACTCTGGGAGGAAAAAACCACTTTGCAGTGTAAGCTCAGAACAATTAAAGATCCCAGTTAATAATCAGGCACAAGTGGAATGTACCACATATAGTGCAAGGGGCCTACTCTCTGTACATCCTCCTCCTGTGCAATTATCCTTCAGAAACATCCAAGAAAGTCATTGCATAAACTCGTTGAGTGCAGCCACCCTGCAGCAGTACATATAAACCAGATGATTATAAACAGCTGTTCGTAGTATTTTGTTGCTGCCATAACGTACGATTATAACATGTCTGTAATTCCTATGACAGTGATTTTAAATCCTTTCTTCCTTTATTTTGCTAGAATTGAAGCTTAAATTCTGAGTGCTAATTTAGAAAATTTGCTCAAATGTAAATCACGTAGACATTTTTAGATTCGATTTTTAAATCTTAGTTAGCAATGCAAAAGTTTGAATAGGTGTTCCTTTACCTTGCTAAAACAAAGTCTCTGAATTTTTCCTAAATCATGAGCTCTCTTTTCTATTTTTAAAATTAAAGCCTTGAAGGAAAGTGAATCTGCTTAATCATAACATTTTAAATATATTTATTCCTGTTTTTAGCCTCACAACAATATTTATACTTTGCTTTAAGCAATCAGTTTTGAACACTAACTTTGCTATTAAAATACAAAGAACCAACTAACTCAGGCTAATGTGCCTCAACTCAGTATCATGGGAAAAGACAATATTTTGGCTAAGTAGTTCTTTGACCTTTGACACTACTAAGTCACTTACTCTTCTTGAGTTTCAGTCTTCTTGTTGGTAAAATGAAGGGACTAAACAAGATAATTTCTAAAGTTCCTTCCAGTTCTAAGACTCTATGATCTTAAACTATGACCTATGTAATAACACCATGGCCTTACCTGGTTCAATAGCTGCTGAGATAAAGGACTGAGCCTCTCGTACTCGCTTCATTACTTCTTCTAACTCCTTAGCTGCAGCCTGAGGTGTCATCTCAGGGGGTTTTACTATTGCATTGTTGGAGTGATTTATTCTAAATTAAAAATATTGGCATATCACAAATACACACCATATTTTACAAAACATGAAACAACTGTTTATATGATACACACATTTATAAAGCTGAGGACATCTTGAAAGCACATTAACAATGATATAGCTAAATACAGAATAACCAAAACATAATCAATCTCATTCCTACCTGCCATCATCTCTTGCTAACAAAGCCAAAAGCAAGGGGAAAAAAAAGAAAAACTGAACCCTAGCTGACTTCTTTAACTTGAACAGACCAGGACAAGTCCTTTTCCACACAGCTTTGAAATGCAATAAATTAAAATGTTGATACCAATATTAAAATGAATCAGTTCTATTCTTAGATTATAAGATTTTGCTGATAACTTCTGCACCTGGGAGGATGAAGGGGAAGCTGTGTATAATGTGCACCATTTTAAACAATACTGGATCATGCTGAGTCAGACACAGCTTCAAATGCGGGAGGCATCTGATAAAACTCTTCCCATACTGGGCAAGGGTGGTTTCTCTGATGCACATAAAGGAATTCTGTGCCTCACTTTACCCCTCCCATATTAAGACAGGAAATCACTAAGAACAGTTATTTATCCTTTAATAGCAGAATCCTGATCAACTATATAACTAACCTATGAAATTCAGACAAAACTGTTGCCTCAATAATCTACACAGAATAGAATTTCTGGTCTCTAGTATTTGAAAGGCTACATCAATTTTTCATTTTGCAAACAAGGATGTGAGCAAACCTTAAAACTCAAAATGTATGATTTAAAACATTTGTGGGTAGTTAATATTATTTTCTTCCTGGGATTCTGGATTTACCAAAATTCTTCTTACTGTGTTACTATAAGTTCAACCCATTTGTTAAATTGTCCATTAGTCTAGTCATAAATGCACAACCAACCTGACTTGTTAGAGCTAATGGAAAAAGACCTACAATCGTTATGTAGGGTATATAAATAACATTAACATAAAATTAGACCTTATAAAATAAAAAATAAGATGTCTTCAAATACAACTTTAGTTTAAAGGCTAAAATGGGAAGTATCTCGTGTATTTCATTTATACTTAACACAAAGTCTTCCTTTCCACAAATTGCCAAATACTATTAAAAAGAAAAAAAAAAGCCTTAATTATATCAAAAATACTTTAAATTTTTTCAAAATTATTAAAATTTCTTTGTTTAGGGTTTCTTACTTCAGTGGCCTGTCTCCAAACATAACTCCATTAAAAGCAAGGGCCCTTGGTACAGAATTTTGGTCTGCAAATTCCACAAAAGCAAACCGAGTTGGCTGAGTCTCATCACCTGCCATCCGCACAAACTTCACTTCTCCAACTTGTTTAAAAAATTCAAGTAGCTGATCAGCTGTTGTTGTCTGAAGAAACAAAGTAACATTTTAATAAAGTATATTGTTTTTAAAAAAACAAGTAAATATTACTGTATCAACCAATAGGATTTTTAAGAAGGAGAAAAGAGTAAGAGGTCCTACCACTGTTTCTTCTTAAATTAGTTACCTGGGAATTCAAATTGCCAACATAGACTGTTCTCCTAATCTCGTCGATCTTGGAAGGGTCCACATTTCCCATGAGCGGCGGCTGTGGGATCTCTCCAAGTGTTGCGATGTTGGGATCTAGTGCTGCTGCCGGTATAGCCCCCAAACTACTAAGGGAAACACCCAGCTAGAAAAGAAAAACAAAATAAAAAACAGAGCACATATCTTCCACTGCTACCAAAAATTACCATTCTCTAATTGTGAAAAGAATTAATCAACTCAACAAGAATGGGAAGAGACTAGGGACTCCCAACTTTAAGCTGGGTATATGTCTAGATTACTCAGAGTGAGGTCACAGTAGTTCTAAATGTAATTAGAAATACAACCTATTTCTTCACTATCTGGGTATTTTAACACTTTTAAACTCAGCACTAAAAAAAGTCAATTCTCGTTATTCGCAGTAGTTATGTCCTTTAAAGTTACCACAAACACTGAATTATCAAATATTGAGTCAACGCTCCTAGGGAAAATACAGTGCTAGTTGTCTGCGAGCCTCTAGTCACAACATTTTCATCAACAAATAAATACACAACCTTGTTTTAATGTGTACTTCAGTGTAAAGACACCTTATTTAATATAAATTGTTAATTTTATTAACATTGAACTCATGGCCAGTGACACTATCAACTCATGCCTGAATGAATTTTATCAAACACGTGTATTTTCTCTGTAAGGCAAATCACAGCCTTTCAGCCCTCAGGAACACTGATGACACTTTAGTAGTAGGCATGGGGCTAATTTAAACAGCAAAATCACCCCAAAAAAGCACAAAAATGTGAAAAACACGGCACTAAAGAGACCACAAAAAAGACTTATTTACAGCATGAGAGCTAAAACAAGAAGGCAGAGTGTTGCTCTTCTGACCTCATCTGGGAGCAGACACATCAAGCACCTCAAATTTTTCATCATTCTACATGTGTCAATGAATGACTGCAAAAACACCACAATTATTGATTTTGAGGTTTCAAATAAATTTTAGCTAGTAGGTAAATTAAAAAATACAGAATTCACAAATAATGAGAATCGACTGTACCTTGGGCATTCAATGACACTGATTGTGTATGTGAGTTACTAACAGGTAATAATCATAGCACCAAACTTTTGATGACTTATTAACTTAATCCTCATATCAACCCTAAGAGACAGGTATTACTATTATGCCAATTCCACAGATAAAGAAAAAGACTTAAAGAAATTAAATAATTTTCCCAAAGCTACTCAACTACCAAGTGGTAAAAGCAAGGTACTACCATGCAAGACTAAAATTGAACCAGGGACAAAGTTTACCTAAGAAAAGACACCTAAAATATTAAACGGTTATTTATACTATGGTAGGAAAAGGACAAAAATCTTTGAATGATCTTTCATAATCTTACTAAATTGAGTTTTCAGTTCAAGCACTAAGGAACATGTTTTTAATGTGAATTTAAACTAGAAAAGATAGAAGATATCAGAATTTGAAAATGGAAAACTTTGCAGAATTAAAAAGACCTTTCAAGCAAAAAAAACCCTGCAATTTTCACTGCCATTTATGAGAGTTAAGAAAATTTTGAGCAGTGACTATATATTGTTGCAAAACTACTAAGATTTAACAACTGTTAAGTAACAACAACTTCCAAAAGGTGAAAACACAAGTTTTACGAAATGACTATCACTTAGGCTTGTCATAGCAGCCACTGTGTGATCTTTCTAAAACATGTCAGATCACGTCTTACCCTTGCTTAAAACCCATCAATGGCTTCTAATTACCTTTAGAATAAAACTCAAACTCCTTTCCATGGCCTAAGATGAACTACATAATCAGTGCCCTGTCTAGCCCTCCAATCTCAAAACACATACTCTCCTCCCCCTTACTCTCCAAGCTTCAACCACACTGCCTACCACTCTGCACCTCAAACACACAAGTTCTTCCCACATTAGCACTTTTCACTTGGCATTCCTTCTGCCTAGAAAGCTCTTCTTCCAGTTTCTGCCAGCTGAATCCTTTAAGCATCAGGTCAATCATCCCTTCCAAGAGACTTTCCTAGACTTTATATAAAGTCTCATTTACTCTCTACCACATCACTGTTTTATTCCTTCACAGTATTTATTATAATCTGTGGTATCTTGCTACTAACAGATCTTAGATTTGTGGCTCACTATCACTATTTCAAGTTATCATAAAGTTGTAGAAAATATCTTAGTGCAAGACAGATGAGTGACGTCTGAGTGAAGGCTCCCACCCTGAGCCTAGCCTCCCTCCACGTGTTGCCACTGTAATCATACTCCTTTTCCCCCCACTTCACCCTCTATGGTCTAAGGTACACAGATGAATGAGGGTCAGACCTTAAATTTTTTCACTATGCAAGAGAATTATTATATACAGTTGAGTTAAATTAGAAATATGAGTCCTGTTAGTTTTGCATGAATTTGAAGCATTTCCAGGTATTCCCAGCTGTCAATCCCTGTAACTTGCAAATTTCTCCACGGGGACATATAACTGCAGATCCAGAATGGGTCTTCCCAATCGTCTAATCCAACCCCTTTGTTTTTCAAATTTAAAGATCACTCAGTTCTTTTTTAGACACTTTTTCCTGTCTCTCTCTTCTTTTCACTCTATCATTCTTCTATACCTGTGCTATTTAATATGGTACTCACTGATCACACGGCTATTTGAATTTTAATTATTAAAATTCAGTGTCTTAGTCACACCAGCTACATTTCAAGTGCTCAACAGCCACATGTTGCTAGTGGCTACCATACTTGATAGTACAGATATAGATTATTTCGCTCATAGCAGAAAGTTCCATTGGATGTGGCTGCTCTCTAACAGTACAATTACCCTTCTTCAGATGAGTCTGTTTTCTAGACTGGTCTGAGGGACCTAAGCACTTAGTTGCCCTTTCAGTCACTGATGGGTTAAAGATGACCTAGACTCCAGATATAACACTTTTGCCTTCTGACACAGAAACTCTGACCTCCCTGAAGATGTGACTTTTAAGCAGAAATATTATGAAAGAGTGAACCTTTTTAATGTCTGGAAAAGAAACGTTCCAGGCAGAAGATAAATAAGTACAAAAGCCTTAAGCACAAATCTGCTTGGCATGCCCAAGAAACAACAAAACCAATCCAGGGAAGCAGGTAGGAAAACAGGTCAGAGAGGTAGCCAAGAGCCAAATGACAATGGGCCACCTTTCCCCTGTTTTCTAACTGACACTCCTCTTCATAAATTAAGTTTTATAATAATAGATATGTATAGCTGAATTAAGAGGAAACCATCTCCCCTCACAGCAAGAAATTAAATAACAAAAACTTTATATTGTTGTTCAACAACCCCTAAAAATTTTCAAGACAGCAAGATAATATTCTCTCTGGAAGGGGCAGAAAAAGTGGTGATCCAGGAATTACTATGTTAAGATATACCAAAATAAACTCAAAATAAAATTTGTAGAAAGCCCAATTCAAATGATCAGATGTTCAATTAAAAAGCATTTTCTCACGATCACAATGCAGATTTCTGGCAGAATGTCATGTAAAAATTACAAGAGCTAAAATTTTGTACTTCAAAGTCTCACAAACTACTTTTATAACTTGGATAAATTAATTACGATCATAAAGTTTACTACGTCACTCCCTAAGAATCCAGTACTACAAAGATAGATACAACTTTCAATTAAGGTGAGTTTTGCATTTTGTCTTGGGTTTATTTTTGAAGAAAAATAACCCTTCTTGAGTTAACTTTTTGAATAAAAATGACCCTTCTTTTAAAATAAACATGACCAGAATCTTTTATATACAAAACAAGAGCCCAGTAACAGCAAAATCTATTTTGATCCCACTTGGAAACCAAAAGGGAGGCATTAAATTACTACTTAATTCCACACAGTAAATGAAAAAATATTTTTGCCATGTTTTTACCTTGTTACTTTTTCTCAACATCAGACAAACGCTTCTGTGAGATATTTTTTCCTACTACCAAGATTGTGGATCATTTCACATTTTTTAAATGTATTTAGTCCTCATGAACTGGGAAATATAGTTACCTAGATTCTCCAATTCCCCATGCTATCTAAAACGCAGTTCCAATAACTGATTACCTAATGAATAAACTATTTTAGTTGTCAAATTTAAGTGAATCCCCAACTACTTCAGAAGTAATTCCAAAAGGCAGTTTAAGTCAGTGATAATATGGGGGGAAAAAATTGAGTAGACATTTCAAATCCTCTCCACTAAAAAAAAAGAAAGATTCAAAATGGAAATAATTTTCTAAGCTCTTTCTCCAACTGACTACACAAGTGAACATTCACCCCTTTTAGAAGAGGGTGTACAGTACTTACTGTAGTCAAGGGATTGGGGGTCGGTATGGGGAGCAAGCCTGCACCAGGCATCAGACTTGTCATGGTTGGAGCAGGAGCCAATAAAGAGAGGGCTTTGGATTCCTCTGGGATTTTACCTGCAGAGGCAAGTTCCAAACATTACCGAAAGCAGAAACACCACACAAACTTTACACTATGATTTTACAATTACCCTTGCACTTAAAAAATAATAATAATAAATGAATCTATCAGATCCGTATAAAGAAATAAATAAGAACTTAAGTCTTTCCTTTTATCCTGCTCTACTAGGAAAAACAAAAGTGAGCAAAACTTCAAAGACTAACAATCTCATTAATGGAATATTATTTTAAAAATTGAATAATGTAGACAATTATTTAACACTTTGAGCTATGGGTCACCTGTACTGGAAACTTAATGTTCATGAACCAAACGATATCAAGCATGGACGCTTTCCCAGGACGGTGTTTTCGCGGTGATCGAAAGTTGTGTTACACATGACAACCGTTCGTGTTGGCTGCATCACTAATAGCACACAGAACATCAGATACAGAAAAGAAGAACATTTTTTAAAGTTTAATCCCCAGAAATGGCAAATAACCAAATTAGTCAAAAAAAAGAAAAAGAAAAAACAAATATGTGCGAATTGAAATTTGTTCCTTACTGAGTGCCCCTATCCTGTTACTGAACTACCTACTTGTGATGCGAACCATTTTGATACCCTTCCATCAGACTCCATTCAATTCCAAGTAGACAGAAAAAAACAAAGGCCCACTGCTTGTAATTAGCTTCAATTTAAAAGGAAGCCTGTACCCATTCAATTAATAAGGCATCTCACCAACACTGGAGATGCCTAAATCCAGTTCCAAATGTGCCTTGGGAAACTTAAAATTTTTGAGAAGGACTTACAAAAAAAGTTCCCTACTCTCAGGAAACTTCTTAAACTACTGACTTTTAGCATCAATTTATGTATACTTATCTGAAGAACAGTGGCTAACACCTAAACGTCTTGCTTATAAACATCTCAATTGCCTAATGACAATAACACTCAAATAATCTTAGACGCTAAGAAGAAAAAATCCCTACGACTAAAAAATGAAAAATTTACTCTGAAATAAGTACATCAATTTGCCAGACTTAATTACTGAATTCCAAGCAATTAATTTTGATAAGGACTGCAACTTTCATGCATTTTTCCTGGTCCTCTCTCTTCCCCGTCAGAAAAAAATATTAAAAAGTTGACTACATATAGCTATTTTAAAAGAACTACTCATAATTACGTGCTAGTTGGCTACATATTTCCATATGAATTCTTCAAAAGTAATTTAAAACACAGCGTACAAAATCACGCTAAATTGAAAGTAGCTTATGGAGTAAATTTTCAAAAGCATCGCACTAGGTTTTAGCAGTAAAAATTTGATTTAAAACAACCAGATGTGCAGGAATAAATCTCTAAACAATATTATCTGAATATATCTTTAAACATGGATGGAATTCAAGACGATCTGAAAACTTGCTTTAAATAATGGTTACATCTTATTATAGGAAGAGAAAAATTACATTTTATTAGCTTTAGCAAATGCCTACTTTTTCTAAGCTTTGCAACATCTAAGTCCACACTTCCTTAATTTACTAATTTCAAAAACAAAGTTATTTTATTATTTCAGTGTAAATTCTGCATAAGCACAGATTTTTCAACATGCATAAAGACAAATAAAAGCTAAGTAGGCCTTACTGAAGACATGAGAAAAACAATAATTTGTCTTATATTTATTAGTTACTAGTATTAACACATGTATCTGTATACCCACACATATACTAAACTATTTACACTGCTATCAGACATGTTTTATGATAAATAGGTATTATTCTTAAAATGTTTGTAAAACCTGAACACATCTTGAAAAACCAACTGAGGTCATGAGATACAAACTCTATGCTTCACTACCCTAATTTATGTACCTAAAAAGCAAATTAGGAGTTCCAATCTAATAATGTCCCCAATTTAACATTACCTGTCAATTAAATAAGCAAAACAATCCATATAATACAGTGTAGAAAAACTACACAAAAAGGGTATTCAACATGTGCCAAAAGTTGATTACTTAATATTATAAAGTCTTTCACTTTTGGCTTAAAAAAACTATCAGTAAAATTGTCTGACTCTCACTGCTTCTAACAGTAATAACAAACTATTATAAATATCAAGTCTAACTGTAAGCAATATAGTTTTCTCATTCTAATTACCATTAAAAATACTTAAAGAAAACAGTTCCATCACTTAATGTCCAAGATAGAATTCTATCAAATTTACCCTCCAAATACTATCAGAGTGTATAAAAGCATAAAACAAATAAGCATTTTAGCATTTTTCCCAAACTATACTCCTCAAAGACAACTGAGAGGGAAAACAACATCTCTCACAGTATTAAACTAGTGATCCTAATCTCAGAATCCATTTAAAAGCTAGTAACTGTAAAAATTTTTCAACAAAAAATTCAAGAGAAACACACACTAAAGTAAATATTCAACAGTTTCTCAAATATCCATTCCCCACATAGGAAACAAAGTCTTTATAAGTCAAGGAAATAAATTATTTTCTATAATGAATAACTATCATAAAAGTGAAAGTCTCCTTTTGTCCTCTACCCTCAGATTTTTATTAAAAATGTACTTATTTTCCTTGATGATTTTCTATGCCTAAAATTCTAGGGGGAAGGACAAAAACTAAAAGCTACCAGTTGGTTTTCATGAGAGATGTAGACCTGGAAGAAAAACTGCAAAAATGTTGCACTGAGACCAAAAGTGTTCCTAAGAATCTGATCAGTGTTTTAGTGTTTCAAAAACAAAATGTTCTTATCAGTCTATAAACACCAGTTAAGACTCACATTGAGCTTCGTGACACTGTATCCCAATTTACTGTGAAAACTGATTTTATCTTAAGGTTGAGCTCTGCTAATCATCTCCCAATATAATCTGTAAGGCAATGTTATGAACCCTTAATGGAATACCATTTAGAAAGAACTGGAAACCAGCTCACAAGTTAAAGTGAAAGAGATTTAACAAAACAAAAACAAAACAAAAACAAAAAAAGGGACAAAATAAATAAAACGAAATTAAAGTAAAACAATAAAAAACAGAGACAGGGCGTCCATCTTCTGCGGTTCAGACTCCGATCTCATTTCCCCAATGAAGGTTTCACTTGGCGGCAGGTTTAGTGGCATGGCAAACAATGCCTAACTCAGGCAAGTGTAACAGGTCTGCCTTGGCCAGTCTAGTCATCTAATAATGCACAAATATCACATAGAGAAAACATACAAAACCAAATTAATAGTCAAAATCCATCTACCAGAAAATGTGGACATAAAGTTACGACTGATGATTAGGCTGACACCCTTGTTATGTTCGACCTTATCTTTTTCTAAGTGTTAACATTTATAAAAAGAAATCTGAGATGCACGCAACAACAAAAAGAGGTCATCTTTGAATGAGTATAATGCAAGTATATTTTATTTTGAAATGGCATGTTTTATTAACAACAGCTAATGCTTAACATGTATAAAACTACTACACATCAAACATTACTTATACAGCTTAGGAACCTCTCAATCTGTCTGCATTAAAAAACCCAGCAAATTGAAAGAAACTGAAAAAACTTTTCTTAAAATTGTTTCTATGGTTTTCTCATTTTTTTCATACTGCTGTTTCTATAATATCAAGGAGAGAATGCAAGCAGTGAAGTAAACAGAAGTCTGCTCATAGCACCACAGAACATCTCCTCTTACAGAACTTACTCCACTGGAACTCTTTCCTTTGGTTTATTTAAAACTCACTTGCTATCTTTTTTAGTACAATAATACAGTATTACTTTGCTTAGAGTGCATAATCAGATCTTTAAATGCTCACCGTGACATTCTTCAGGATCTATAAACTCATCTCTGTTGTATTTAGTTTAATGAAAAAACGTATATATGAATGTTTTTCTGATACCAATTACTTTATAGGTTAGTGTTCTAAAATACCTATAACTAAACTGCAGTAAAAATATGCTTAAATTTTCATGTTCAAAAATAGTGAAACTTTGACTCAAAATGGTAATATTAAAATATTCAAAAGCTATTATAATACATGTATATTTACTCATCTCTATCAAGTAAAACAAACAAAAAAGAGGAACCTCTACATGCCCATAACCTTGAATATTTACAACAAATCCCGGTCAGGGCTTCTCACATATGTGACAAACTCTATGGGAATATAGCAAGGTTCCAACAAAGCAACACTGATAAAATTCTTTCTTACAATTCAGTAATGAGCTAACATAACACAAGATCCTGTGCTGCTGGTGGCATAATTTTCTGATATAACTAGTATTCCCCTTTAATAAACTTTCTACCTTATTTCTTTTTTCCCATGCAGTTTACTTGGTACGAAATTGATATGAACTTGGTATGCAGAACTAAACCATAACCAGCTCTTTTCTCACCTTGCTCTCCAATTTTGGGCTCATTGTCCTCTTACCCATCAGTAGATAAGCATAGTTTTAGCAAATAATTAACTTTAATACATTTTTATTCCCCCTACCCTACTCTAACCCCCAAGCATGGGAAAAATACTTTCAATTTATCTGAAAAAATCCAGAATGTCCTACTCTGCGACTTCAAAAATAACAGAATGGTACTCGCTGTATCTGACTGTAATGTTTCTGACATCCCAGAATAGGCATCCTGAAATAAGCACAAAGCCTTGAGAGTGTAGCAAACATATATTAAGTTATTTTAATGTTAGCCTGGTTTCTAAAAGATGTTTTAAAACATTACATATGAAAGCTCATTAAATTGTTTCAGATAAATTTTTTATGTGGCAGTTACCCCATCCACCAGTGAAAATACATATTAAAGACAGTGAAACTATAATAACCCAATTCTAAAATCCATGTACACATGCCATAGTCAGTGCTCCGAATAAAAGTTAATTACACACCAGAACTGTCAAATTCAGCACAGCCTATTATATGTGAGTAGCTCTGTAAACAGAAGCTACTAACAAAATAAATACTAGTAATAATTAGCTCTTAAAGCAGGCCAAGCCATAAAATTTAACAAAAAACTATAAGGCCTTTAGCCTTGTTCCCATCTTCAACAACTATTTCCTTGACTCAGGCTTTGGAAAATTGCTTTCCGTGATTTTTCTTCAACTGCCCCCCTCACTCAAAAAAAGCCAGTGAAAGAAAAAAGAAAATTCCAGTTGCATAGCAAACAATTACACTGAATATGAAATAATGGTCTGAGTAACAACTAAGGTAAATTACCTTAAGAGGATACTTTAAATCTTAAATCATGAAAATTTTTCTTATATCACTTAACCCCAATTTGGCAAAATGTATACACTATTTTTGTTTATGTAATATGATTAATATTGTATCCTAACATTTAAAATAATTTCCCCTACCAACTTAATACATTTTTTAAATTCAAAAAGCTTTACAACTCGCAGATTGACTACAGAAAGCCAAAGCAAACCAGTAAAGTCAATTAATTTATGAATTTTTAAATGTTTAGCTATAAAATCTCAAACATACATAAGTAATAAATTAACCATTTTAATATATTTCATTATTAGGTACAAATTCTTTCCTTCTCCAAATTTCATTCTTACTACCTCCCCCTCCCCCGCCCTCTGCCCCAGTACTATCTACTTGCCAATTTCTAGGAAAGCCAAAGGCGGTGACAGACAGGACAGAGATTTAAATAATAGAAAAAAACATGTGAGATACCAACCTTCTGCACAAGGAACAACTATCAGAGCTCTGTCAATAAAAACCGTGTTAGTTAGATGCTGGGCCACGCCAACACTTGATGGGTCACGAAACTTAACATAACATACTTTGGAAGAAAAAGCAAGAGGTGCGTTGCTGCAAGATAAAAAGAAAAACAATTGGACTAATAAACAGTTGGTTTTTGTCATTTTCATTTAAAATTTCTTACATCTTTACATAATCTTACATAATCAAGGCAAAAATTTTTGTTGCTAAGGATCATTAAGACATAAAATAGCAAAATTTAGTACTTTCATGGTGATTTGTCTGCAAAGACTGAGGCAATCTAGGCAGGTCTATAACCTTATTTGCCAAAATTTGAAATTTAAATAAACGCGCTTTTTTTTTAAGATTTTATTTTTCCTTTTTCTCCCCAAAGCCCCCCAGTACATAGTTGTGTATTTTTAGTTGTGAGTCCTTCTAGTTGTGGCATGTGGGGATGCTGTCTCAAGGTGGCCTGATGAGTGGTGCATGCATGCACTCAGGGTCCGAAACAGCGAAATCCTGGGCTGCTGAAGCAGAGCACGTGAATTTAACCACTTGGCCGTGAGGCTGGCCGCTAAATGAATTCTTAATCTGAGTGAAATGTGCAAACGGTTGATTTAACCCAAAGATGTTCAACCATTGTATCATCATCAATAGGCAAAATCCCTTTATAAAAGCCCCAATTCTCAAGACTCCAAATTTTGTAACCACTTCAACCTTTCCTAATGTGAGTCCCTGGCATTTAAATCACTAAAAACTTCACAACAGTCTTAGAAACAATCAGATAAAATGCAACTAAAATTAAGGACTTACTGGACTATTTTAGGCTAGGCCACACTGTGATTTTCCAGACAAAAGATTTTACAAACAAAATTTGACATATTTTATATGCAAAAGAGCATATACTGTTACAAGCCCTAGTAGATTCAGTTCAATCTAAGCAGGCCTGTACTAGAAAGGAACTAGACAGCACAGGTGAAAGCAATTTTCCCATAAGACGACTCCATCTTTTTAGATGCCAAAATATCCTATCCTTATGGATGATCATTTTGTCAATCTGTCCATAATTATTTTCAATTAAAGTCTACAACTGTCTTCAGCAAGAAAAAAAAGACCCAAACTAAATATCTATCTAATATACAACATAAATGTTCAATCCTTTAAAATATTAAAATTTTCACACTGAAAAAGAAGAGAGATCACTTGAAAGATATCATATATGCCGTGTGCAATAACAGTAATTTACTTTACAAAAGAGATCAAGGAATCATAATCGTAGACCTGGCAAATGGCAAAGATCGGACTTAACGTCTAATCATCTAATTACATATCTCATTTAACCTTAATCATTCAACTAATCAAGAATTTTAAAGCCATTTTAATGCACTATTTAATTAGTAATTTCACAAATATTCATCACTAAAATAAAAAAATCTTCTATATATAGCAACAAATTAACCTTGATAATGGTTAAACATACATATGTGTGCTATTAACCAAAAACTATGATGATAAATTATATTTGCATTTAGAACTTGAAACTATTTATATTATTATTAACCAAAGTAGTCAGGCTAATTAAAGTTGCAAAAAGAAAAATAAGACCCTATCTGTTTCTCATCCTACCCAACTCAATTCATTCCTGCCTAAGGCAACCAATGCAGTCTTCAGGCCAACCCACTCCAACAATCCTCCACCATTCAAGATTTAAGTCAAGTACTTTATGTATTCGTCACTGAGGTAAATGTATTCGCATCCAGACTTAACTCACCTTTACACTACCAAATCTCCTGAGCTCTAGACTCCCAGATCCAAGTGCCTGCTGGAATAGTACACCTTGATGGTCATGGGGCCCACCCCTTAACTTACTGTGTCTAAGATAAATTCATCCTCTCCTTCCTCAACAATCCTGCCCTTTGTCCTATACTTTCCATCTCAGTTAAAAATACATTACCCAAGTCAGAAATCTTGGAGTCACTAATGTTCACCAAATCAGTGGTCAATTAATCTCTTCACCAAATATTTCCAAATCTGCTTCTGATTACATGGCAAAATTGCATTTCATTGTTCCTTGAAGTTTAAATGTGGCCATGCAACTTGCTTTGGCTAATTAAATATGAGCAGAACTGACATATGTCACTATTTAGTACCTTCAAGTGGCACTACCCAGCTCTGTTCCTCTGCCACAGGGACCAGTAGCATTTGAGAGAAGGGTCACTGATATATAAGCTTCAACCCAGAGTGAGGGACCACAATGAGTAGAGCTCCCCACCCACCAGTTCAGGTGTAAGTAATCATCTGTTTCTAACGAACTACTGAGATTTGGAGGCTGTTTCCATCCTTGACTCTTCTCTCCTCTTCATACAATTGGTCATTAAATCCTGTGAAGACTGACTCTCAAATATCTGTCACATTAATTCTTTCACCATTCTCATTATTAGTGTCTTAATTCAGGCCCTCATCATTTCTCACCTGGATTACTACAATGGCTCCTAACCAATCTTCCAATCTCAACTCCTTATTAATGGTCTTCCACAAAAGCTGCCAGAGTAATCTTTCTAAACCCTAAATTTCGTCATGTCACTCCAATCCTTAAATTTCCTCAAAGACACCTTTCTGTTCTTGCCTCATCGCTAAATGCACCAAAAAATCCAGGCACAACAATACTTGTGGTTGGGGCTGACCCCGTGGCTGAGCGGTTAAAGTTCCACACACTCCGCTTGGGCAGCCTGGGTTCACAGGTTCGGATCCTGGATGCAGACCTACTCCACTCACCAGCCATGCTGTGGAGGTATCCCACATACAAAAATAGAGGAAGAACGGCACAGATGTTAGCTCAGAGCTATCTTCCTCAAGCAAAAAACGAGAAAGATTGCCAATGGATGTTAGCCCAGGGCAAATCTTCTTTCTCACCAAAATAAATAAATAAATAAAAATACTTGTGGTTCCCAAAACACATCCTAAACATCTAGGTCATCTTTGTACATGTTGTTCCATTTGGCTATGATGTCCTCTCTAACTCCCTTTTTGAATGGTAATTCCACTGTTCTTCAAGGGTCAGGTTTCCAAGTCTTCTGGAAAGCCATTTTAAAAGTGATCAAGTGCCCCTCCTACAGGTACTACCAAAACATTCTATGGACTTTCAGCACAGACCTTATCAATTTCCTTATGTGAAACCCTCAACAGATCTTATAAGCTTCCAGCCACAACTGATTACCCACATGACACAAGGGCCCCATTTCACTGGCTAACTAGCAACCTATAATTTGTGTGGCTTGACCAAACAAACTTGGAACAATCAGATAATCTCTCTTGGGCTGGAAAATCACTTAGAGTCAGGACTTCCGTCAGATGCCAGATGAGTGAGCACAGAACAAATCTGCAAAGAAATTGAGCGGATACACAGAAACAAATTGAGCTGACAGTAAAGCCTCTCAGCAGACGCAGATAGTCACCTTGTTTGCTGATACTTTTCTGGGTCCCAGTCCCAGTTCCCAGGAGACCTAGCTGTACTATAGTCCTTATTCTTCAATTTAGGGAAATCTCCATCTTTTTAATACTGTCTCGTCTTTAGCTAGACTGGTAGCACTGTTTCTGTCCTTTGCAACAAAAAAAAATCTGTAATTAGAAACAGCTACTAAAGCCCTAGCAATTGCAACAAATACACTCTTATCACAGACATCTTCAAGAACCTGACAAGCCACTACTGAAAGTACATTTCCTAAATTGATAGATCCCATTGTGAAAGAATGGAAACCTAAATAATCACTGTTGAAAATAGAAACACATTTCCAAATACTCCTACTTGAAACGCACATCATCTCAAATTTAAAACATCCACAGGAATAGGAAATACAAGCCTGGTTATAGTTACTAGGCAGAAAAGCAACTACACGTTAAGACTTGCCCCCAAGACTTCAGAAACCCAGGAACTGCTTAAAAAATACTGGTCTGTTCTGAACAGCATCCTCACAGGAGCATGGACACTAGACATGGCTACACCACTGCTTTAAGCAATTTTCTTCACCTTCATCTCCAATCACCTTCTTCAAAAGGAAAAGTAAAGATCAATTTATATTTACTTTATAAAAATGTAAACATTTGGGGGCCTGGCCTGGTGGCACAGTGGTTAAGTTTGCACACTCTGCTTCAGTGGCCCGGGGTTTGCAGCTTTGGATCCCAGGTGCAGACCTAGCACCACTCGTCCAGTCACACTGTGGCGGCATCCCACATAAAGCAGAGGAAGATCGGCAGAGATATTAGCCCAGGGCCAGTCTTCCTCAAACAAAAACAGGAAGATTGGCAACAGATGTTAGCTCAGAGCCAATCTTCCTCACTAAAAAAAAGGTAAACATTTGAGCTTTTCAGGAGAAGTAATAACACTATTTATTTTGAACATTATAGGCTAAAATACGATACAGTGGCAACCCTAAATACAGATGATGAATATCTCACCAAATAAATGTGTATTTATTTATAAATTACCATGTTTCCAAGTCTTACATTTAGATCTCTCTAGTATATCTCAGGTAGTGAATAGATTTATTTTTTAATTATACAGGACTATCATTTTAAAATGTAATTCTGACCTACAGTTTTAATTTTTAAAAGGGGGTTACATATTACATTTGGTCTAAATGTCTGCTTCTAAAGAAAGCAGCAGTTCCCAAAGCAGTACCAAATAAAGCAGATTTTACTTTGACCTCATTTGTTGAATCAAGTTTTGTTTTTTTAAATATAAAACTTCCTACAATCGTTTTTCAAAAAAATCAGAATTTCTCATTGAGAATTTAATGCAGAAAAGACAGAACCAACTTTCTGAGCATCAGGTAAATTCCCTGGGCCCTAACTGTTTATTTTGATTCTTATTAAACATGGTGATGGCACTGTACAATCTTTTAAAGGGTCAATGTGGTAATAATAAAT